ATCAGGACCTTTGTTCCGCTCGTGTTGAACAGCAGATCCAGTACAGGCTCCCCGGATCGTATTTCGTTCACAGTAGTAATCAGCTCATCTTCATCCGCGTTGGGCTCTATTTTGGACACAAGGATGCGACTGGACTCGTCTGCTGTGACAAGTAGTCCGGCACTTCTGCAGTAGTCCATGCAGGTTATCCTAATACCCAGAGCGTGCCGGCAAACTTCTTTCTGTCGCATGGTTTGTCCGTCGAAGCACATGACGGATCCATCTTCCTTTCCACAGAAGAGGTACCTTCCATCTGAGTGCGGACGGATTACTGTTATTTGAACGTCCGCGGCTCGTTCCATATGACTTGAAGTAGTCTCGAGGGTCCTTGCTTGACTGAAGTCGCTTTCACTATCATCTTCGTGCTCTCCCCAAATCAGAATATCCGGTCCCCATACTCGGCACTGAGAACCACGGATATCAGCGAACCGCAGGCTGTCGGCGCTGAATGAAATCCCGCGGATACCATCTTCAGACGAATCAATTCGATGTATGAGTGCTAGGCTTGTCCCTTGAGCCCCGGTAAACTCAAAGATACTCAAAGTGCCCCGAGAGCTGCCAGTGACAAGGTTGCGACCATCTGGGGAACAGGCGAGAGTATGAGCATAAACATTCTGTCTGCGGTAGCATAACTCAGCAGTATACAGATCATAGACCACAAGCTCTCCATCGCCATATGAGACCACCAAAACATTGCGATTTCGGTTGAAGATCATGCCATCGACAATGTATTCGATGGCCATATTACTGTTTCTGTAACAGGCTTGAACGAGAGACGATGTCGTCATCTCAAACACATATACCGGTCGGCCTTTGTAGCTGACTGCAAGATAAGAGCCATCATTGGACAAGAGAGCCATTGCTGGAGGCTGAGTTGGTTTGGTCTGTCCTGTTACTTCTTGGAAACGCTGGGTCCATGGACGAGTGTCTCCCAAGCTTTCTTCGTCTTCAAGAATCCAAGAAGTTGTGTAATTTCCTCGAGTAGCGGCTACTAAAACACTGCTATTTTCATGAAATGTGACGGTTAGAGGTTGGTGCGGGACATCATAAGTTCGCACTTGTCTTAATGTCTGCAAATCCCAGACTTTGATTTTGCGCCGGCCACTGGAGGCCAAGTACTGGTCATCATCACTAAATTTAAGTATTGTCACTCGCTCTTCGTGGGTGAAAATGGCCTTCTTTTCCAGTGATTCCCAAAGATAAAGAGTGATACTTCCATCGGACAACGAAACAGCAAAGTGAAAATTCCCATGGCCGATTGCAGTCGTCCGTGAGGTACCATAATCAATTCGAGACATGCATTCACTCCAGCCATCATCTTCAAGGCCTTTGAGTATGATGCCACGAGGGCGCAAGGTGTATTGTTTCGATATCATTGACTCCGAAGGGCAGAGTGATGGAATGACTGTATGGATTGCTGAAGGGCAAGTGTCCAAGGCTACCCGAAATCTGGCATTCACTCTTAGCAAATCGTGTATCCACTTCCGTAGCTGCTTCTTTTTTTCGTTTGGTATAGGAATCTTTTCACTGTTGCATGCCAAAAATGAGGCCATGTTCCTTGCAGTGTGCGTGACATACTGTAGTCTCCTTGTCTCAGCGAGGTACTGAATCCAGGGTAATGCAGTAGCCTCCATAAACTTCAGGAGTGAATCCCATATGCTGGGTTCTCCTATAGCGCAATCATTCAGATGGTCAGAAAAATAAATTGCGGCATAATCAGCGATGTTGCTCTCTGCAGTGATTGGCAGAGAACGTGCGTCTGATCCTCGTCTGCCGGGCGCATTGTCGATGAAGTTGCTTAATGCCTTTAGGCAGAGCTCTGCGATCCGCAATTGGCTTGTAGGCCTGTGTATGACAAAGGGCGAAATTTCTTCCTGCTCCAACAAGAATGCCCGAGCAGTTTGGTGAACACATTGTACTTCATTTCCTCGGCCAACTTTAATGAGTTGTCCACAATTGGTGTTGATAGCATCTTCCAATCTGTGTACGGTTTCACCGGTGTCGATCTTTATGGCATGCTTCAACTCTTCAACGGAAAGCGGCCTCATCGCTAGCGAAGTCAAGGTAAAGATGGACCGGACCAAATCATGGCTCTGGGACGGTATGTTTTGTAATATTCGCGTGTAGACATTGTGCATCTCCATAGGCGTTTCACTGATAACCTTTTCTGCGCTTTCTTCGGAGAATGTGGTCTCAAGCTCCCGAATTACGAGGGATAACCATAGAAAGGACCCATTAGCCATATCCAGGATTTTGGTTCGGAAACTTCCCTGATCGTCATCAGCTGCGATGGGGATGTACTGAAATCTCGAGTTGACAAATATCCTTAAATCATTCATTGTATCCTGGGGCTGTAAAGTGTATTCCTCAATGGCGTGATAATGAGATGGAGGGCATCGAGACATCTTCAGCCCGTTGCGACTCGTGACAAATATTCGCAGCCACGGAGGACATTCTGTAAATAGGGAAATAAGGAGATACGGTTTGAGACACTCGTCGAGAGCATCAATAACCCAGTAGCATGAAGTAGGCTTCAGCTTCTTGAAGATAAACTCCAGGAAGATCTCACGCCACAATGTTCGCTCGTCCAATTGCTCCCACGTGCTAGAATCGGGTGAGACCTTGGCAAGTTGCCCAAGGATTTTCTTATCCATTCGACACATCTGAAAGGCAAGTGATAAGAGACACTTGGTGATTGTAGACTTATCTCGATCGCCATGCTTGAAGAAGAAATAACTGCATCGAAAATTGCTTTTCACGCAGTCATCGATTATAGAGCTCGAAATGACTGATTTCCCTGTGCCAGCATTACCCGTGAGCCAGAAGATGGCCCGATCGGAGTTTCCCAATTTCCACGAAGCATATTGCTTCCTCATTGTCAACCATTCACAGGTTCCGGTAGCCCGCAGCTCGTCCAGCGCCAAACGGTCATTATTTGGAGCATCACTGATGCCAGTCAATCTGGACAGCTTCTGCAGGGCCGCCTTCACATTCTCAGAATCTATGATAGTAATGGTAAGAATAACCTCGGCATGTATGACGGCGGAAGCTACTGACCCTGAGAAACAATGGAATCGATGGTAGTGACAAAAGCATTCCGAACTGTCTTATAATTTGGATCTGCAGGACTGTCAAATTTGCACACGCCCCTATGGTCCGCATTCAGAAGTGAGCATCGCTCCTTTGAGTAGCCTAGAGTGGCTGAGGTTTTGTCAACAATAATAGCGCTTGTCAACTTGAAATTGCACGGAAGAGTCTCGTAGAAGGACCATATGTGCAAGTAATCCGCAACATGTCGAAAACTGTCATTTATAGACTGGATTGAGTCGGAATTTCGTTCTAACTCTAGAACAAACGGCTTAGGCCCAAAGGACACCCTAAGGACATTTGCGAGAGTCGTTGCAAGATCGGAGCCCCGGTGAGGCGTGGCGAGGAAGTATAATGTATGTATTCGTGCTGCAATCTCCTTCAGAGTAGGGTCCTCTCGAGCGAGAATATATGCATGTGGGATGGTGAGCCCAGAAGCGGACGGAACTAGACATGGAATGGTCTACCTTTTTCGCAACCAGCCCGCCCATACTATGTGCAACAAGTACCAATTTTGTCTTTAATTCGTCAGTTTGGAATAAGTATAGATAGGAGCATGACTCACATTGCTTCGACGAATGTCTGGATTGCATTTGATTTCTCCTAACAAGGACAGCGCAAAGTCATGGATGTTCAAAACACTGGCCCTTTTTTCGGCCCAATCAGCTTTATATCCAAAGCTATATATACGCACTTGCTCAAATTCGAGGTCTTGAGATAACCATTCTTTGGGCCAATAATGGTATGGGTCTGGTGATTTGGACCATGTTTTTCTAGACCCTCCTCCGAGGCCGTGGATGAAGATAAAGTCGACGAGCGGTTCTGAAACGGTGCGAAGCAGTTGAAGACCTAGAGGTCCTTTGACGTCTTCACTCTCAGGGAATGGCTTGTCATTAAGAGCAGTATGCCTTTGAGCAACGTTGGATCTTCGATCGATACGGAGCCTGCCGAACGACCTCCTGAACCAGCCATAACTCTCCGCCGTAGTGTCATTCCCTCCTGACTGTTTCGTTTCAGCATCCGCTTTTTGAATTTTCAAAGTTGCAAGGCCAACCTTATCCATTACAAAAGCATGTCAATATCGTCGGAATTCTGTCTCGACGTCTAAATCATTAAACAACAGGGGTGCCAGGTGCTGGTAGGGGATAAAAACTCCAAACATTCCATCACCAGTGCCCCTCACTGGAAGCTGCTCGCTTACGACTCCCTGCATTGGGCTATTTTGAGATTCTGCGCGCAGCGAATGGATACTCGTTGCGCGAGCCAGTCGTATGTCTCGGTTAAGCGCTGCCCGCCGTGCTATCGCACTCATGCAGGCTGAGCGGCTATAGGATGCAGCGGGACACACTGCGCAGTGTATGATTCGTAGATCGACTCTTTGCCAGCCTCAAGTGTTATTGATTTCTGTCAAGCCAGTTTTAATGCTTGATATTAACCGAGTAGTAGAAAGGAGACCATGGGAAAACATTCCGCAGATATTTTGTGTACTGTCGACATAACCAGCTGCCATTATGTTGATCTGCAAATATCCATGCGCTTTCTTCATCTTTTGAAGGGGGCGATCCAACGTTATAATATTGGAGTGATGTCGGTGTAGTTCTTTAATAAGTATTGCTTTGTCAGCGCGTTATCTACTGATCCCAGTCATAGGTGTATTGAAACGCAATCCTTTGGAAGAGGATGTGTAGGAGCTAGGCAAGTGGGCTCCCCGGTGGACATTGGCACCATCACACCCCTGCTCGTTGAACACGGCAACCACGGCGGGGTAATCATTCCTTTGCTTTCAATGGTTATGACAGTCCCACATCAGTTCAACGACATCGCGCATCGACTGCATCTGCCTCATACAGGCTCATTTTCAATTTGCAGCCATCATGTTGCAGTGCGATGGTCAAGCAATCTCGTTTCCAGTCTCCCCAGTAATTGTGGCGGACGGCATTTCGAAGAAAAGGGTCATTGACCATGTTGTTTTATCGGGTATGAATGTGTTGGCGACGTATCTGCACCCTAAGTTTGGATAATAACAAAAGTAATAACAGAACTTGCTTTGTTCCGTCGACCGTTGAAAATCGTTAGCCTTGGTTCTTCGGCCTGGGCTCAGAGATATCGGATTGATGTCGAGGCCCAGGAACAGACAGATAGCTATTTCATGAAGGTAACTCTTCCTATGGCACTTAAACACATTCGAAAATACCGCACGCTTTTTGCTCTGCTAAACAGGTTCTTGGTAGATATCATTTGGGGATCATGGCAGGGAAGCCCTCAAGGGAGAATTCGAGGCTACTTTGGCAATCCACAGCATAGTTGGAAGCTTCACTCCCAGGCCAATCAAATGGGGATCCTTCAGTGCTCTTTCAGGAGCACATTATTATCTCTGTCGTTTCTACAAATTTGCGGAACATGCCCCTAAACCAGCAGAGTTCTGCCAGAAGGTCGCTTTTCTCCATTCGAGGAGCAATTCGCCAAACGGCAAATTCGGGTTCCACCTCGTGACATACAACGGCGACCTGCCTCAGGAGAATGGTTACACTGACACATGGGAGGAATTCTTCACGATCGGATTTAGGCACATGATAAATATGAGCATAGAACGTGGTGGGCCGTGGCCTGGGCTGGAAGGCCTAGACACTGCTATGATTGACAAAGTGATCCCCCGCTTGTTAAGGCCAATGGAAACAGGAGGGCGGTCCATCAAGCCATCCCTCGTCCATGGAGACCTGTGGTGCGGAAATGTCGCAGTCGATTCAGCCACAGGGCGGCCGCTGATATATGATCCTGCGAGCTTTTATGCACACAATGAGTGTATGTGCTATTTGTAAGTCTAGTTCTGAGTTTCACTAACGTGTTCCTGCAGACGAATTGGGCAATTGGCGTCCTGAGCGAAATGGGTTTGACAGAAGCTTCTTTGATGCCTATCATGCAATTATTCCAAAGACTGCCCCAATAGAAGACTATGATGACAGGATTGCATTATATTCAATGTAAGAACCCATCTCAAGCACTTCTTTCTGAAATAGTTCTTATTCGGAACAGGCGCTTTAATCTACAAGCCGCGGCCCTCTTCCCCGAGGATACTAGCTTTCGAAACTCGTAAGTCGAGTTCAACCTTAATTAGGCCCTAGGTTGCTAATCATCCACCAGGGTAGTTGAAGAAATAAGACATTTGGTTGCAAAGTACCCGGGAGGCTACGAGGAGTATGCCAGGATGCTCTGTGACAGCATCTAAGGTATCTTAGGCCAGTTATCATAGTTTGGTTGCGAACATCTGCACCTTCCATCAAGGCATATATATCTTTTTGTCCGCAATAGTTCAGTCTTATCATGACGTTTTTTCTATATTTCCCTGGGCTTCTTGTAAGTATCGGAAGAATGCGCGGAACTTTGCTTGTTCATTAGAAGAAATATGCTCGACGAATATAGCTTCATTTATGGCATGCACCTGATTAGTATAGTACTACAGATAAGCAGACATGTAAGTCGAAAGGATAAGCGCCCACGGAGTGGAGATTAGCAGCACCCCTGTCGGTGGATGGGGTACTTGGGCGGGGTACTTCCTGCATCCTTGAGTTTGTTTCTTTGTCATTCTCCTTCCCTCCAAGCATATCCAAAGATCATGCCACCCACATCTCTCTTCACCTCTGACATTGCATGCACAGCTGTCGGCTTCGGCACCTTTCAGAGTGATGATGGCAACGGAAACATCAAGCAGGGTGTTCTACAAGCACTGCGCTTCGGCTACAGACACATAGACACCACTATTGCTTATGGAAATGAGAGGGAGGTTGGCGAGGTCATCAAGAAGAGCGGGATATCTCTGGAGGAGATCATTGTTACCACTAAGCTGTAAGCACCTGCGCTTGTGGCTACACTAGGGGAACTGACTCTTTGTTCAGAGCTCAGACGTGGCACTGTGTTTCCGATGTCGAGAGAGCCCTCGACCTCAGCTTGGAGAGGCTGCAACTAGACTATGGTTTGTTTATAATAGATGTATATCACTTCCAGAGATAATACTGATGGTCTTCGTGGATAGTGAACCTCTATTTGATGCATTGTATGGCAAAGATCCCTTCTCTGCCTTACCACCACCAATAGCTATCAAGTTCCCCATGCATACAGTCCTGGACCGGATAAAACCACAATGCGTCATCCTAATGGAAAGGTAGATACCTTGAGTATCCCCTCATCATACTACGGTGTACTAAGGTTCTCAAACGATGGCCAATCATTGACTATCAAATGTCGAGAGACTATCCATCAACCTGGGCAGCGATGGAGAGACTGGTCGATAAGGGAAAAGCGAAAATGATTGGTAGGCCTGCACCTCCTGACATGGCATGCAGACACTCATTTTGATAAGGTTTCTCCAACTTCAATATCCTAAAACTGAAGAGATTTCTCAAGTCCTCTAGGATTCCTCCTGCAGTCAAGCAGATCGAACTTCACCCGTACGTACTCGAGCTGTCCCACTGCGTGCTTTCAGATTGACTTAAGGCCCTCTAGATACTTACCCCAAGTTGAGCTGGTGGACTTCTGCAAAATTAAGGGCATTCACGTAGTGGCTCACCAGCCACTCGGCGGCAAGCCAGTAGCCGCAGTCAATCCGAACGCAGACCGACCAGGCCGCTTGAGCGATCCAGAAGTAGGTCTCCCCAAGATGCCTGTGACCATTACTGAGACTAATAGCTACAAGGTAGCCGACATGGCGGAAAAGCAAAACCGTTCGCTAGCCCAAACCATACTATCCTGGATCGTCCAACAAAACATATCCGTCATACCCAAGACCGTCCAGGAGAGCAGAATGGTAGAGTACTCGACCTCAAACAGTTACCCGATAAGGATATGACAACAATATCCAATATATCAAAAAAGAAAGGAGAAGTCCGCTATCTCGATGCGAAACACCACATCAACTTCGATATGTCGACGAGCAACACGATCAGTCAGTGCAGGAATGATCGACCAGGCACCAGTGTTGTATTTGCAGATATCTGAACGGATTTCCAACATTGCTAGGAACTGCCTAAACTAGTGTGTGTCACTTTTGACTAGCTACGGAAGGATTCCATCGCCCAATATGATATCAGATTGTCATAGCAGAAGGATAGATAATCCCGCAGTACCCCTCATCTAAAGCTTTGATGTCGTTTCAGATGTCCAACACAGCACAGCACAGCCTACTTCTTCCGCTGTCATGACTCAGGAGAAGGACCGGGAACCAACAAGTCTTGATCACTAGCTAAGCAGAACAAAACGCGTATCAAAGCGCGACAGCAAAGCCTCACCTACATGACTGATCACGACATACAGCATCCACAGCCTTGCAGTGTAGGCCTAAATCACCAATCCATTCAGACATAGTTCGCTCCCAACAAAACATCCTACATGATCTAAACACCGCAAGTAGTTCAGCGGTGACTCATCTACACACAGACCACACATACAACACCTGAATCAGCACCACCCACTAGCACAAAAAATCCCTAGCAACTACTTACTCAGTAACTAACTAACTAACCCACCTACGATCCGGAAATACCCCGAGGCTACAGCCATACTAGCAGTCTAGCTCCCCATTAAAGACACTACCATATAGTACTACTCAGCTCCACTCAGTAATAGCAGATTACTTCTAAGACAAGAGACAAACCCGCCAAGCAGATAAGCAAATCACCAAGATTGACTGACTAAGAGAACCAAACATCGACGTCATAAGCGAGCACCTAACAAGTAACTAGCCGAGATAGAAGTAGACTAGGCTAGTTGACTAGAAGAACGGGATAGACTAGAACTAGACTAAGACACACGTGGCCAAATAAATAACCACCTAGTAATACCGAACTAACTCACTAACCAGCTAGTCTAGCTGACAGCCTAAACTAACCCGACTAAAAAGACGGAAGACGGAAGACGGAAGACGGAGAAGAAAACGTGGGAGTGTTAATCACCACCCACCACTATAATATAGATTAATAAATAGTAACTGTTGGTTTCAGCTGAAACCCTGTTGGATTTTAATAATCCTACTAGGTAGTCACATCACACCACCACCACAGCCATACTAAGTTAGTATCTAGTAAGTAATCACTAAAATGACTTTCGCCAAGTAAATTGCACAGACATCCCCATCCTGGTCATGCACACACATCCTCATCCTCATCCTACTCATCCCGACCAATCTAAACCAATTCTTACCTTCCTAATCCAGACTAACTAAAGTAAACAAGTAAGTAAGTAAGTACTACTAGCATGGGGGTTAGTTAGCTTTCTGAACCCCCTCCCATGCTTAGTCCCAGCGCTAGAAAGCACCAGAAACACGTGTTACATGGGGGCCGTGTAGATCACTCCTCAACATTACAGGGTATCTACTACTATCTAGACTACAGGGGCGGAGGAACAAATGACAATCCTTGTATATTAATTGGAGGATTATATACATGATTATTCACTAGACTATATAAGGGTTAGTTCAGCTGGTATGGATCGGTGGGATGAAACAGGGAGTACCTTAGTAACATATGGGTGGGATGTTACTTTGATTAGAAAGATACTAAGTACTAACCATCCTTACTCAACATACTCGGTTCCTACTAGGACATCGGGCACGGTGATCATGCATACGATCTGTCGCTTAGATAAGTGGTGAAACTGTCGTTGTTTCATCTACAACTATTATTATTTCTTTCTTGGCATTGCAGAGTCGAGTCGATCTCGAGAGTAGTTCATCATTAGTTTGGGTATATACCTTATCGGTTATTCGTCACATCACATTAGGAACATCATCCCACGCGCTTCAGCGTATCATGAGAAACAAGTATCAAATCAAATCAACCAACCAAACAGTTCAGTCAGTCATGCATGCATGCAGATCAAAATAATCACTCATATCGCTAGCGTACGAAAATAAGCAACCAACCAGCCAAGCAGGCAGCTTCAGTTTCCAATCCCATCCCTCTATTTCGCCCATCCCAAGTAAAAATTCAAGACAAAAGAAAAAGAAAATCCAAACCAAAACACCCTGGCGGTCCTATCCCAGATCATCTGATCCCGCTTTATGCCGTTTTCCGTATCCGCTCCGTAGCTAATGATGATAAAATTAAAACATAGGAAAAGAATCGAAATCACTCCAAGGTTCTCCTAGTGCCATCCCCTCTCGGGTGCCGTGTTGTACCCCCCAACCATCACCGGAGTTTCTTCGTACAGCTGCATGTTTAGCCCCAGCCCGCCATTGTTCACCCGTGGCAGTCCCCCGCACACCACGTCGCCAAGATATGGGGGCGGAAACGCAGGGGAGTGCTGCAGAGATCCCGCGTGGCTGTAATCCGAGAGATCGTCACGAGGGTCCGAGAGCAGCCGTGGGGAGCTCGGATACAAGGCCTGCGACGCCGGTGCCGTCACATAGGCTCCGCTGACGTCAAACGGGGGGCTGGCGATGGTCACTTCGGGAGGGGACTGCAGAGGCGGGGTGTAAGGGGCGTACGTGGCGGAGGCGGAAGACGGAGAGGACGAAGCGAGGCGGTAATCGTGGATGCTGTGATACGGACTGGGAGGTGCAGGAGAGTAGTGGTCAAGGGAGGTGCGCGGAGACCATTGGAGCCGGCTTTTGTACTTGGCGACAATATGACGGGGAAGGTCCATGGCAGACAATGCGAGGTGTGCATCGGGGTGGAAAGGATCGGCAGTGCTTCGAGCAACTACCATGCGGTATATCTCTTCGATCGGGCTGATGGAGAGCGGGCCCAGGTAGGCACCGCCCAAGTCCGGAAAGAGGCTATCGAGGACCACACCAACCCCGAAGAACTGGGCCAGGATGGCTAGCGAGCCGATGTCGGCATCTTCAGGTCGCAGCATGGCAGGCGGAAGCCAGAACAGCCATCTCCGTAGCGGCTGCATGCGCTCAAAGGCCTGTTCGGGAGTCTGGGAGAGGAGATCTCGCTGGAAGTGTCGTACAAACTCAAGGAGTTCCCCGATGCGACGGTAGTGCTCATGGTTATGTGCAACCCGCTTCTGCAGGGCCTGGAGTGCCACGACGGTTTGGTCGAGGCTGGCCAAGTCTTCGTCTTGGAACTGATAGCCCGACATGACGGGAGTGTTGGTGCACCCCAGGTACCGCTGATTTTCGAGGAACATAGCCAACTCGGACTCCTGCTTCCACATCGGATGCATGGAACCCAATACCTGCTTCGGGTCAGTCTCGCCATCAGCGTACAAATTAAAGATGCTTACCGTTGTAAGACCCTGCTGCAAAGACGCCCAGCTCTGCCACTCCGACGCATGCCACGACAAGATAATCGAGGCAGCCAGAATTGCATCGCAGTTGTCCTTCGAAAACGCCCCCAGGGCATTATGTAGGCCCTGGATAGCAACACCGCGGTGGTGGTAGGCAAGTTGTTTCGTCTCCTGGTTGCGGGTGATCCAGGCGAGGTGGGAGGCGGACATGGTGAGGATGGCGCTCATGACAAAGTCGTTAGAAATGGCAATAGCAAGAAACCTATACAAACATCAGTAAATCTGCCACCCTATTTGCTCATCAGGCCGCACTTACGTAGGCATCTTCTGCGCCCAGATGGTGCAGCTAGCGAGACCGCGTCGCTGGAGATCAATAGACAGACCAACAATGTGATGAATCAGGCGCAGATCAGTCAGCGAGAGCTTAGTCCAGCAGGTACGCGGGAACTGCAGCAGCTCAGCAAACGGAGCCACGCCGGTGAACTGCCAGTTTTTGATCTCCATTTCGATTTCGGCGGACATAAGCAGGTCGGGTACGTTGCGCATAGAGGATGCGTCGTCGTGGACCGTGGCAACATCCATGTAGTCGCAGCGACAGTTGTGCTTGGTGCAATTCCGGCTGTGATGGTCAGCAGCGATTCCACGCAGCTGCAGTCTGCAGAAGACAAGCAAACAACAGATGGATAAACATACCATTGTGGGAAAGTTTCGTCACAGCGGATGTGCCGCCGCTTGCATGTCTTGCAGCCGAAGCGAGACTTGGTGTGGCTCTTGCGAGGAGGGCCACCACCGGGACCAGCCATGGCGACGATGAAGGCTAACGAAACGGTGGGATCGAGGGAGAGAACAGAGAGAGGTGCGGTGGGGTCAAAGACGAAGCGATGAAACAATCACAGAAGAGTCAAAGCTTGAGCACAGTGACTGTCTCAGGCAAGGAGGAGAAGCAGTAATAGGAATAGTGACAGTTGACAGGAAGAAAGATGGGGTGGGAGGGGAGAGACCAGATGCGGAGATGGGCCAGGCCGGGATATTATAAGAAGTAAGAGCAGAAGATGATAAACCCAATCTGATCGGAGGCCAGAATTTACAGCCCACGGTTGGCTCAGTAAATGCGGCGTCCAAAAATAACCTCGAGCCGCAGCCCCAGTGAAGAGCAGCAGAGATACACACGTGGGGAATACGAGAAAACGGTGGAGGGCAAGTCAGTAAAGTAAAAGAAATTCTTTTTAATTTTGCTTTTCCTTTTTCTTTTTTCTTTTCTCTCTGATGTCCCTGCGTCAAGCCGAAAGGAGTATAGAGGAGAAGGAAGAAAAAGTAGAAAGACAAAAAGAGGCAAGGTCGTCAGGCGGGGACTGGGAGGGAAGACCAGCAGTAGCAGCAATACTAGCAGGTATTAAGTAGTATAAGAAGGCGGAGGATTGGGGAACAATCAACAGGTCAGGACCAACCGGCCGGTAAAGGACGAGAGGAAGCTGCAGCCACAATTTTCCCTCCTTCAGCTGCGGGTCGAGGGACCGCGATGGTGGATTTGGTAATTTTAAAAAGAGAATGAAACCAGAATAAGGAATTATAGGGAAGAAAGTGTAAATAAATTATATTCATAAAAGAGAATGAGAAAAGAGAAAAAGAAAAAGAAAAAGAAAATACTACTTAAGTAACTAGAATAAGTAACGAAATCGTTTGCATTTCAGGGGACGAGAAAAGAAAAGAAAATAATAAAACATACCAAAAAGAGGAAATCATACTAAAATACTTACCTTAGGGGAGGAGAAGAAAGCCAAGAAACCTAGACATCAAACGAGAAAAGAATAATAATCAAAAAAATAAAATAAAACCACTATAATATAATTTCGAAAATAATAATAATAATAATCATTAAAACACAACCCAGACAATCAGTCAGGGTGGAATCTCTGGGGTTAGCGAAAGCCAAGATGTTGAGCGCCACGGTACGACCGGTCAGATGCTGATCTCCAGACAGTCCTCATAGCCAGTCATGAACGGAGCAGTGCCGGAAAAGGAGAGAAAAAGAAAATACTGCCACCACGATGGCCGATCTGGATGCTCAGAGAAACTGAGCAAGCCAGGGAAAAGAAAAAAGCATGATCATGATGGTGGTGGGGGGGTAATGAAATCCGTCGAGTGAGCCTAGCCCCGACATGGGGGAAGGGTAAGTTGGGAGGAGCAGGAGGATCGGACCATGGCTGCAGGCAGGGGGGGTGTGTTGATGGTCTGAATGACTCGGGTAAGAGAGAAGATTGTGAGTGAGATTGTGAGAAGTGATGATTTCATCTGGCCAAGTGAAGAACCGACCACCAAAATTATCGTGAGTAGTGGCAGCGGCAGCAGCAGCAGCAGCAGCAGCAGCAGCAGAAGGATGTCAGGCTCGCTGAGATTACTGTTTTCCGGATTATTCGCGCTGGGAATTTCTCCATTGGCACGACTTGAGCCTCTTCTGCCGAGACAGGCTTAGCGCAGGCGAGGCAGCTGGAATCCACATTCTGTTTTGAGATGAGCATTCTGCCTGCTAATTGGCTGCTAGAATAACCCCAGGGCCAATGAAGACGAGGGCACGGGGCGGCCACATGGCAGCATCACCGCCAGTGGAAGTGCTTGGGCCATCCGTCCAAATGAAACACGCCAGATTCCCTCCCTCCTGAGTTAGTAGCCCGAGCAGAATGCAGTATGGAGTAACTAATTACTTAGTGTACTGCTGACTCTGCCGGTGATGAACTGACGGCCGGTGTGGGAATTTCCTGATCGATCCTCGCTCGCTCCATCCCGCCTAGATTCGGTCTGGTTCCGTTCCCTCTACTACCAATTTGCTGGCTTGTCCGTTTCAAGTGCTGTCTGTGGTAGTCGAGGACTGGCATCTCCCCTCTTTCATGGTGATCCCTCCACTTTTTCCCTTCCAGTGGGCGGGACGGGATTCACAAGCCTCCGAGGAGCAAGAGGCCCTCCTCATCCTCAGGTCTAAGCCGCAACAATCTGGAGTTCATCGCCAACCCACTGCCTTCGAATCGACGGAACCAGAAACTCAAACGCCCTTCCTCATCAGAAGAAGCAATGTCATCCTCCCTCTCCCTCCCTCTCCATCCCTCCCTCTTCCATCCCCAAAAATAAAGATAATAAAAAGTAAATAATATCATCTTTACGCCCCAAACCCAGAATCATGCCACAGCCCTTCTAGCCCCCGAGATGGTGGTGGCGGTCAGGGTCCGTCAGAGGAATGCTTTCCCTCTTTTTCCCACCCTCATTCCCTCACTCACCAAGGCTCGGGCGCAGCGGGAACACAGACAGAGAAGTGAACGAGCAAACGAACAACATAGATTGGTAAGTTGGTAGAGCAACCCCGGGGGTCGTCTAGAGTCCAGATAGTCTGGACAGGGTCTGCGGAATCCTCACCCAAACTCTGGCGGGATACAGGTGTGGTTCCGAAGCGCTCTACCTTTCCGATTTCCATTCTTGATATTGGTGGAGAGCGCTTCCCCATACCAAGCCAGCGGCGTCTGCTTGTTCTATGGTTCCTCCTCCATTTAGACTTGGGCCGGAGGAACTTACACACACAGACACTGTGTCTCTTTTGGCTGGGCTTAAATCACATTGTTGGTTCACCATTGGGCTGTGCTTTCCATAATAAAAAATAAAAATAAAAATAAAAATAAAAACAAATGACACACGGTTGGACAGACAGCCTGTCACTTGCTGCGGAGTTGGTCCGTCTATCATCATTCAGATCGGCTGCAAGTACCTTCCACTAAGAGTTGTACTTTTCTTGGATCGAAGGCGGCGGGCCGGTCAGGCTTTCTTCGTCGTGAGGACCACTCTGGGAGATGAACCATCAGTGGGCAATAGAATCTGTAGGCAACATCACTGTGGCCTGGTCTAGTACCTACATCTCCGCGCTTCTCTTTGGTACCTACGTAGCCCGTCCTCTTCTTTTGGTTTCTTTTTCCTCTCGCTACCTCTGCCTAACCTGACGGACAGATCATCCCCGCGGGACTGCAATAAGCCTAATCAGACCCGCTCGAACTGTGTCAGCCGCCTTCCTTTTTTCTTTTCCTCTGTTCACGTTGGCTGACGTACCGGTAAGGATGCTAATCGGAGAACCATCGAATAAGGTGATCGATGGACCACAGATCCTACCACATTGGGGCCATCCAGGATGATCGTTATAGTAGTGACTGAAGCTAAGTCGTCCGCCCGTGCTGGGATCGCTGCCACGATTATAAACGGAACGACACTTGACTTGCTCGGGTCTAAACTTCGACAAATCGCCATGCCGCTGATGATGCGGATTGCAAGACCAGGGTCCTCCTCCCTCTTCATCGGAAACACCAAGAAATGACCAGGGTCTGTGAGTTTTGACGGGCAGTTGTCACTAGCAGTTAGCTAGTCGTCTGCCATAAGCGATGCATCGCTGATTGGGCAGCCCGTAAATTCTATCCCCCTTATTCATACCAATTAGGGGGGCGTTGTTGCTTTTTCCTGGCTCGTCATTCACTCTCACCCCCCATCATCTGCTCTTTCTCCCCTCCTGCATTCATCAAAGTACTTGGCTACTTAACTTAGCCTCTCGTGGAGATGTCAACTTTCGTCAAAGTGTGCCCCCGACGCCAAGACAGGTCAAGTACTGAGCAACTTAACTAGTCGTCGCTTGCACTTGACACATATACACACCGAATGGTTTGCCTTGCAGGGCGATCTGAGCGCACCGTTCATGGTGCCTGAAAAGGTGACCCAACAACCCCTCCTTTCTCCCCGTTCGCTCTCTGGAGGGGTGACCAGCAGTAAAAAATAACAGATTACCTAAAGTACTCTTCACAGCCAGGTCACAACCTTAATGTGCGCTAGGGTGGAGGCACCGGTCGCTAGTAGATTTCCTGTGGCCCTCTGATGGCTGTTGGGAGATAATTCCCCCCTGCCAGGGTGGGTATTCGATAACTGCAGCGGGTCACCACCCTGTCGCGATTACCTTGATCTGAATAGGCACCGGAGTAGACCCATGATTCAAGCGCGTTGGGCTCCGTAGATAGTCACAGTTTCACCATGTTCCAAGGATCGATAATGAGCCAATGTGCAGTGACTATGGGACCGTCTGCGGAGGATGCGATCTTTCACAAGCTCGCTCGCTCCTATCCATACCTTACGGGCGCACACTTACTTACACTTAGGACGTCATCAGCAGGACTCTCTGGATCTGGCCATGACAGCCGACCAAAGCGCAGACGAAATTCCAATCTGCAGGATTCATTTCGGTGATTGGCCGCGCAGGGGACTGTGCCCAGGGGTTGCTAGTCAGCCATCCTGCTCTTTTGCCGAGCAAGACCCTGTGTAACGGTGCAGACAAGCCATGCAGCATGCGACCCGCGGGACAAGGGGGGGTAGACAATAAGTACAACCTTCAGAAAACCTGCAGAGAGATACCTTCTTCGGCCCATCAGTTGGCATTTAGGCGATGACAAACCCAAGTCACCGGCCAAGACCCCAAGACCCCGACTCAACCTTTGCCCTGCTGGAAGGCGTCCATCATCCTTAGTCTTGGGTCCTGGCGCTGCTCGGTAGGTTTAGTCTAGTCCCGGCCGAACTAAAGTTTGGGATCGAGGCTGTAAAGCAACAGCCCTCTCCCTCTACTAGATACTGTGTACATGACATGTTGTAATGGACCGTTCGGGGCGCATTCTCAACCCAGGATTGCCAACGTAATGACTGACAGGACCTTCCATGGGGCATGGAAGATGAGCCTCGCGAGAGGATCCTTGTAGCTTAGGCCTTCTCTTCGTAGAAAATCTGACCTTCCATTGCATCAAGTGGGGCGACTGGAGTTACAGGAGAGACCGGGCGGTCGATTATGATAGACGCGCGATCCACCGCGAGGATGAAGGCGCAGTGGACGGACGTGGCATGGCGCCTTACCTCAGCCGATATGTTAGTACGTAGTTGGTTAGATATCTGTAACGCGGACAGATCGTCTGCTTCTAAACGCACTCCATGCACAGGCGAAGTCTTCTGTATGACAGACCTGGTCCACATGCACAGTCTGGATAAGACGATACGGAGGTAACACGGTTTCAGCCTCGACGGACGGAAGCCAATGTGATCTTGCAAGTGTCGGTTCCCAATCGACCGGATGAAACAGCGTCAGCTGTCATACCTCATGGCCAGCCAGACTCTCGGTGATTTTTGCCATTCTATTCTTTTCTTTTCTTTCATCAGACGGGAAACTCTAGCAGGGCTGGACTGCAAGCGATTGATGATTAGTCGTGGTTTAGTCTAGTGGTAGTAAGTAAGTAAGTGAGTGATCTGGCCCGTTACGGAACGGTCGAGCGGAATAGATAAAAAAGAAAGGAGAGAATTGGGAAAATAATAAATAAATAAAAATAATTCCGTTTAAAGAATAATCAACGATCAGAAAAGAGAAAACAAAGAACGGCGGCGATACCGGTCTGGAGGGTAAAGTTAAACTAGAATAAAGCTAAAGGGAAATCTCCACGACCAGCATTGTTAGCGTGTTGATTGGAGCCAGGATTCGAGAGGGCGCTGATGGATAAAGCTGATCAGAGGCCAGAAGAACTCCGTTATTTAGTTCGCCCACGCTTGGACAATCACAGTTTAGTGGGGAGGGACCAACAATCTGGTCCGACCACACAACCACCGTCATCCACCGGACCCATCGAAACTCTGAAGATGACCCAAAGGACTAAAAGCAAAGCCAGGGTTGACGGTGCCAAACCATCCGGGGCTGCGGGCCGGGTCCACGGTCACGGGGAGGCTGAGACTGTAAAAAAAAAAGAGTGGGAAAAGGTCTGAGGCCGAAACCTTGTTGGGGGGAGGAGCAGCAAAGAATCCACCAGTCAATTTCTCTTGATAGTCGGTCTTCTCTCGGGTCGGTCTCAACTAAGCTAAATTCTAGTCTAGAGCCCGCCTGACAGCGGAAAAAGGGCTCGACCTGCATCAGCCATGGAGGGGTGAGAATGGAAGGGGGGTGAGGGAAGGGGGCTGGATGGTTGCATGCATCGTTGCACAAAGCCTCATTGCCACGTTTTCGTCCCGGAGATCGCGACAGAGTTCCCAAGATCCCGAAGAAATCGAGCATATGCCATGTGATGATGGAGGGGGGGAAGTGTAGGGATTATGCACGTACATCCCTGTCGGAGGGAGAAGCGAAGGGGATGAGATTTGTTGTTTGTAGATTATTTCTTAGCTAGTGAGTACACTACTCGTAGATTAATACCAAGAGCGGACTGGGAAGGAGCAGCTGGACCCTTCTCGGCCGTCAGAATTAAATTTGAAGCGATCTTCAGGAAGGCGTCCATGGTTCGTTGGGACGATGCTCCCAAGTTCAACTAGCTCTCCAGCAAGATAGAGATGGACAGATTGAATTAGATAATAGATCGCGACCGACTGCCGCACCAAACTAGGAGTAAACATCCGTTAGTACACAGTATACTCCATACCTCCTCCGTACTCGGTGGACTGTGTAAGTACCTCGAAGAGTAGTTAGTCGCTTGATACTGATTGATTGGGATCCATCAGTCTAAAGTACCCTTGATCACGGGGTCAACGAGGTTACTCAAGACTAGCCCAGGTAGCACAGCCAGTAAGACCCAGTCAGGCAACTGTCGGTCGGAGCAAGCCGATCCCAGATCCCGACCAGCCAATGACGCAGACAAAACCATTCTCCGCATCAGTTTGGATGGCGACCAGAACAGGGAAGTAGTGGGCCAGTCACAGACAGGCGCTGGGCTCGGCAGATCCGCCGTCTTCTTTTTCTTCTCAGTCAGTTTTCAATCTCGCCAGATACAACCGCATCTGGTTAGTGCGGGAGGAGTCCAGAGGTGTTTCCCACTAACCCGGAATAGGGATCTGCCAACTTTAAGAAAAAAAAAATACAAATCGAATAATACACATCTGATTAAAAAAGAAAGAAAGAAAAAGATGGGATGATGTTCACTCACCATCATCCATCAGCAATGAGCAGAAAAAGAAAATCAAGGCGACCAACCTCACTAACTGCTACTAAATAACTGCCACACTCAAAACTAGCCCCCAACTTCACACGCGGCCCAGGATCAACCATGTCAGAACCCAATAACTCGTCCAGTTTCCCTCGTGGCCAGCCTGAAGGATCGATCACCCACCAGTGATGTGATGATTTTATTCTCTCGCTCAGTATCACCATCAATTCCAGCCCCAGGATCCAGCCCGTCGGGCGCGCCTATGGAAGGTAATTTTCACTGCGCCGTCCTCGGAAATGGGTACACAGGGGGGAAAAACAAAAACAAAAACAAAAAGTTGGCCACACAGCCTCATTGAACTTGGTTTACTAAATTGAAGACTAAGTCTAGTATGGATATGACTGGGAACCCCATCCAATTCCACGATGAATTAGCCGACAGACCACCCAAGTACGGAGTACACAGTATCTACCACAGTAAACAGTGAGAGAGTGAGAGAGATAGAGTCTCGGCGAAATGGCCAATCTCCGAAAGAGAAGATAAAAACCTGCTCAACTAAAATACCACCACCTGCAGTAAGTAGTTTTTTAGCGGCCGAAACATTTTCGCCTTCGCCGAAGATACCCTGATTGGGTAGGAGTCATACTTGAGTCAATTACTCTGACGACTCCAGCTAACTCCAAGATGGCGTACGTACGTACATACATGGATGAGAATGATTGATTACCTGTGTCTTATCAATCCATACTAGACAAGTAGTAGACCGTAGCTGAGTGATGATTCATTACCATCAATTAGTTAGTTATTTCCAATGAGGCAAATCATTCAATTCTAGAGTAAGCCGCCATACCGCCATCCATAATGCCATCTCACTACCTCACTAACCTACCTCACTAACTCACAGACTTATTCCATCCATCCATCCATCCCTAAATCAACTAATAAACTAGTAACTACTAACTAGTTAGCCCCCAAAACTAAACAAAATATCCCCTGCTCACCACCTGCATGGAACCTTCCACAGAAGAATCATCCCCCAAATGGAGCAAGCAAGGCAAGCTAGGCAAGCGAACACACATACCATCCTCCTTTCTTACTCCATACATAGTGCTTACTTCTTCTTACTGTAAGTCAGTACTCAAGAGACAAGCCCACCAGAATAAGTAATCGCTTAGAATGGATTATCAATCAATCAATAGTCACCCCCAACTATTAACAAGGATTAAAATATCTGTCATGTCGTACACATCCATCCACCATATCCTATCCTATCCTATAGACATGAATCAAACCATCCTATCGGAGATGCCGATATACGTTTCTTCATGATTACTCTATCTTGATGACGATGACGATGATGATGATGGTGGA